TCCTCACTGTCCTCTGATTGGTCCTTGCTGCCCTCTTGGCTGGGTCCTTTCATTCCTCACTGTCCTCTGATTGGTCCTCTCCTTGAAGGTCTCGGGTTTGTTCTCACGCTTCACCTGGCCTGGGGCCAAAGGTCTCATTGCTACAGCTACCCTCTCAGGGCGCTGATCTCCTGGTTCCGCTTACAAGGACATGTCTAGGAAGACGTCTCTGGTCACCTTACTCCCCAAAGGGTTACGGCCGGTCTATGTTTGCTTTCACAGGTCCCCTTGGCTCTGGCCAATCTCCCCCACCAGCCGGGCGCTGGTTACCAGGGAGCAGACGCAGGCCCACACTGCTCACCTAGCGAACGCAGCAGTGAGATGCATTCAGCACCCCCGAGCCTGCTCCCCGTGAGCTAGGCTGCACAGAACCCTGTGAGATGGAGTTGGGCCCGCAATTTAGAGGGAACTTGGGCTCAGAGAGCAGGGGCCTTGCTTGAGGTCAGACAGCGAGTCTTGGGAAGAAGCCGGATCTAATCCCAGATCTATCTTGTTAAAAAGGACAAGCTAAAAATAAGTAAAAAGAACAAACTGTAGGCGCCTGGGCCAAGATCCCTCACAGCACAGAAAGCCTCCGTGGAAGTCCAGCTCATAAACCCCAACAACACATCAAAATCAACCCTCCATCTCGACCCCAGGAGGGACTATACCAGGTCTGCACGGAGGGTCCAACACTAAAAAACCAACCAACATAACCCACCACCACCTGGATAAGACAGAACATGACTGCATCCACCGATAGACGGCACTGACCAGATCAACGCCCGTTCCTCAACACAGCTCAGGACGCACACACAAAACCAACAGCCAACAGCGCCTCAACGCAGACTGAAAGTGCTCCCCTGGTGAACGGGACCATGAAGGGTGCCTGCTGTGGACCTCTCTGCTGTGGTCCATAAGGTGTCTGGGCTGTGGACCACTCTGCTGTGGTCCATAGGGTGCCCGGCTGTGGACCACTCTGCTGTGGTCCGTACTGTGACAGGGCTCATACAGAGCTGTTACGGCCACAGCGGGAGCTGAAGCACCCCCACCCCCAGTTGGCAAAGGAGTAAAACGATGTTTGCAGACAAGCTGACACTACATAGCAAGTCCCCGAGACTAAGTGAAACATCCACAAGGCCAACACACAAAGTCAGTCAGATCCCTCGACACTGACAAAGCCCCCTCTGTAACGGAAATCAGAGGAGTGACACCGTTTCCAATGTTCCACCCAGAGCAGATGAAACCCTTTGGGATAAGTCAACACTACTGCGAGAAACCAGGAGAGACCTACAGACACGGAGGAGCACAAATAGGAAACACACTGCAAAACGGTCAGACTGCTCAAAGCAATGCAGACCCACTATCACTCCTCAAGACAGGAGACAACTAATCACCCACGTACTACGGAAAGGAACGTGACCCCAGCTCAGCAGAGCACTGCTGGGGAGCAGGAAGAGATGGGGCTGGAGCCCAGGAAACAATAGGGAGGAAAAAGGTGGGGAAATATCCTTCAAAAGTGGGAGTGGATTATGACTGCTTCAGAAACAGAAAGGCAGAGCCGAAATGCTAAGGACAGAGGACAGGAAAGGGTGACGAGCCCAGAGTGATCGAACAGGCAGCGACGCTAATGACCACATCTCCTTGCTTCCTGTGACTTGAAAGACAGCGTGCGTGAAAGCAGGGACAGTGCTTTAAGGGAGGGTGATAATAACTGTGAAGGAGAAAGGCATGACTTCAAACAAAACTAGACACTGACAATATGCACAGACACAACCCGCACCTCCTTTCCTTCACACGCTCTGTCCACTGGCGGGGCCAGGGCTCAGGTTCATTCACCTGCTGCTGCTGCTGCTGCTGGGGACCATCCCACTCGCTCCGACTCACAGTGACACCACGCCTGCCTGCAGCTCTGCCGTCCTCCAGATTGCTGTCTGAGCCCATCCATCTCTCTGCTTCCCGTCTACCTGATACTAAGCATCACCTTCTCCTCCTCCTCCTCTGGGCACGGTTTCCCCTGCTGGCAGCTCAGAGCATGTGAAGCAAAGACTCGGCACCCTCACTTCTAAGCAGGGCACCTTCTTTGTACTTCTTCCGAAATGATCTGTTTGCCCTTCTGGTTAGCCCGCAGCGCCCATGTTATTTTCAAAGTCAGCCTTGACTTCATTATATTAAACCCCAGCACTCTGACTTCCCTTCTGTAAAGAACATTTACCCCACAAATAAGGTATCTGGCTTTAAAGTACCAAACATAAAGATTTGGAATGCTGGGATAACTGGCAAGACAGGTGGCTCCTGTACATGTGGCTGCATGCGTGCAATGAGCTGTCTGGGCCCATCGGCCCAGGTCCCAGGCACACCTGAGACCCGTGATGTACCTCTGCTCCAGATCCTGGTCCCGGAGAGTCCACTTTCCTCTTTTTCCTGGGCCCGATGGCTGCCAATGCCGTGAGGTTGGCGTCTCGCTGTCTCATCTGCGCAAGCTCCTGCTGCTGCATCTTGGTTTTGAAAAGAAATAAGACATGTCATTTCTCACACCTGTTTCTTGCTTACTGTGAAAGCACATGTGGGCACAATTAAGTGTTCTGAAACTAAGTGTGATTTCTTTAATGCTTTAGTACGCAGGTGACACCTAAAATCAGAAAGAATGAACCTTTTACAAAAAATAGGGGCAGTCATCCTAAAAAGCTCAGAAGGCACGGACAGGTTGATCTCCCAAAAGATCAGAGAGGCCTGGTGGTGCAGTGGATGATGCCCTGGCTGCTAACTGCAAGGTCCGCGGTTCAAACCCAGCAGCAGCTCCGAGGGAGAAAGACAAGGCTGTCTGCCCCTGAGGAAGTGTGCAGGGAGGAGCCCCCTGCCCTCGAAACAAAACACTGTTAACATTTGTCAGGACCTGGCACGGCATGACCTAAAAACTGTCCATCACAGGCACAGAACACCACCGGCTCCCTCTCACGGCACATCCGGCCGCACACAGTGGGAGGCGCTATCTGAAACGCCTACCTCCTTTGCCTTCTGCTTTAGCCTCAGCTGCTCGGGGTCTTCTTGTCTGGATCGAGACTGTTTGGAGGGAAGGGAGAAAGGAGCTGTTACCTGAGTGTCGAAGCAAACGGCAGAGCACGCGCCACATGTCCCAGCCTGACCAACACGTCCTGACAGTGGACCAGTGACACTCAGGGAAGACATGGCCTTTGGCACAAGCCCAGCACTTACAGGGCTCTGATGGGAGACGGGCACAGCCTGTCCAGGACAGGCCTCACGGGCCCTGGACCCAGTCAGTGGCCACCACACTACAGAACCCCCTCCTCAGTGGGATCCAGGCCGGTCTCTGCCGAGATGACAGGAGGGACGCTACAAACCGCAGCACAGGCGGCCCGTGGTGCAGGGCGCAGCTGGACCAAAAGCTCAGCGGTGTGAGAAAAACTGACAGTGGGCTTCTGCCAGCACGGCAGTAGGGCCCTCCTGCCGCAGCTCCGCTCCAGCATGCAGGGTGGGCCCCGTGTCAGACCCCATGAACAGCACAGTGACCCTAGAGGGCAGTGTGGAACTACCTGCCCACAGGGCTCCTGGCTCCAAATGCTGTTAGGTCAGTACCAAGCACCACGATGTCTCCTGCCCTAGGGCTCCAACAAGCAGACAGGGCACCCCATGTCTACATTTCAATGGGGAGCCTAAGGGTCCACGCTCAGCAGCACCTCCGTGTTGGTGGAGAAAGTGCATAGGTCCTGCAGTCTGTGTCCACAGCAGCTCTCCCTGCCCCTCTGGGAGAGTCCCCGGGCGCCGCCCCCGGGCAGCACTCACCTTCGCTGCCCGCATCAGGATCTCCCTCTCCTGCTCATCCTTCCTCTGCTTCTCAATCTGATCGAGCTGCTCAAAAAACTTGAGCTGAGCCCGGACGTCGCTCGCCTGCTCGTACCGCTCGTCGTCCTGCACAAGGGGAGGGGACTGCATGGGGTCAATGCAGGACTCGGCTCAGAGACGCGCAGACGTGGGCGCAGATGCAGCGGGCAGCCCCCTCCTCCCCCCCCCCCACACACACAGCTGGTGCTACAGCTGCCTCTCCTCAGCCTGACCCTGGGTGGGCGCAGGGCGGGCGTCATGTGCTGCGAGGCATGGGGCGCCAGCTTTTACCCAACCTCATGTGGGACTAATGTAAGCGCAGTTGCAATAGAGCAATGGCCTTGACGTCTCCCCACCCCACCCCTTGGGGCCCATGGGGCAGCACTGCAGGGGCTCAGAGGAGACCTGCGGCAGGGACCCCGGATCAAGGTTGGGCGGTGGCCGGTGACAGGCATGGCCCACAGGTGCCGAAGCCACCTGCAGGGTTGCCAGTATCTTCCTGCCCAGCCCGTAGTGAGAGCGACACCCGCCCACGCCCTCCAAGCTGACGGGGTCCCCACCAGCACACACACTGCACAAACGCCACCGAGCGGCCTGAGGCCGCTCTCCAGCCCACTGCCCTACAGCTGGGCACACTGGACAGCCACAAGAACTCTGCTTCTGTGGAAACTTCAAACCCGTTCAACGGCCTCACCTTGTAGGAGAAGTTCTTCTGCTGTGCCGTCTCTGAGATCTTCTCCACCAGGTTCTGTAACCTCTGCTGGGTGGCGTGCGACACGTAACTGACGACGTCCGGGTGCAGCTCCGTGACACCGTGCCTTTTACCTGTGGGAAAGGCCCGGCGGTGAGGGAGGGAGCTTCCGTCAGACACGCTCCTGCCCGCACGTCTTCCCTGCTCCCCTCCGGAAGGCATGCGGGCGGTGCTGCGCACGTCCCGGGACCCCCACAGCCGCCTCAGCTCGCCCAGGCCGTCCCTGTCCACACGTGATGCGGTGTGGCCGTGACACGCAGCGGCAGAGGGCGCTGCACACGTGTGGGCGGCCGGTCACCCCGCGCTCACCGATCTCTAACATCCTCCTCTGCAGGGGGGCCGTGAGGAGGAAGGCTTCGTCTTTGCAAGACCGCGTCAGCGTGCCCACGAGCTCGGAGTTGGTGGCCAGTATCCTTGCGCTTTCTTCTGACAGGTTGACTCCCGCCATCGAGGCGACATCGTTGATGTCATCGTCGTCCCTGGGGACAAGATGAGTTATGGAGACGGGTAGGGAACACATCCATGGCGTGGTTCCATGGCAGCCTGCCTGCCCGCAGGAGCCCGAGTGGGGTTCGGGCGTGGCCAGGGCAGCGGAAACATGCACACTTGGTGCTCTGAGGTGCTTGGTCCGTGTGACCGCTCCCCTCACTGGTTTCCCCAGCCGTCCCAGGTCAGAACGGGGGGGAGAGGGGGGGGGCTGCTTGCCAGGGCATTCCCCCCAGACAGGGGATCCCCATGGAACTGGGCTGACCACAGGGCCTTGAGCAGACCCAGGACGCTGCTCACACCAGTGTCCTCCGCAGCCAGGACCTGGGCCACGTCTCCAGTCGCGTCAGGCTTGGTTGCCTGGTCCTGGGAAGCCGGGTGCCCTTGGGGACTGTGCAGGACACAGGAGGGTGGGCTTGGGCAGCATTGTTGGGTTCTCCTCCAGAGACAGGCCTCTGCTCACCACTCGACAGGGGCTGAGATCACCTGTCCTCAGCCCCTGCACTCCAGCCAGGGGCACCTGGCCCCTGCGGTCAGTGAGCACTTCCCAGGACACACGTGGAGACCAAGGACACCTAACTCTGCTTACACTCCTGTCCGACGACCCACAATGGACGTCTGCCTGGTCACTATTCCGGCCGGTGCTAGAGGCCAACGGACTAGTCCATCATCACGGAGCTCTGGGCACATGGCAACACGACATCTCGCCTTGTACTGGCCCTTCCTTGAGGCTGGGCCTCGTGAAACTGAAAAGACCAGATCTGGATGTGGGCACAGGCACACTGCTGAGGTGTCAGGGTGCCCATGCACTGGCAGTGAACAGGTCAAGCACTCCCACCTACACGCACCTGAATTGCTTTAACACAGCCCTTCTGCCATGGCTGTGACTCCCCAAGGCTGATTGGGCAGAGCTATGCAAGTGAGGTGCCGGGGCCACCAGGGGAGTGGGCAGTTCTGCTGAGCCAACAAGGTGCGTGGACCCTCTCTTTGTTCTGTGGGCTGCTGTCATCGGAGCACCACGAGTGGGGGCGGTCACTCAGTAGCTCTCTCTCGGTTAAGAGGCGGGCCAACCCAGGCCTCAGCTCTAGTGCAGGCGTCCTCTGTGGGCTCTGGAACAAGGTCCTGCTGCCTGGGCCTGGCGACCTCCGTGGGTCTGGGCATCTGCTTCCCCACTTCTGCTCTGCTCTCTCTCAGGAGCAAGTCACTCAGGGAACCTCCACACTAGTCCTTAGCTCACGGACGCAACACAGGTACCCCGCTTCTAAGTGGTCTCAGGACCGGGCACAGAGGTTCACATTTACCACACAGTGTTTGGGGGGCAGGGGGAACATGGTGTAGCCCATACGTCCCACCCGTCGGCCCCCCAAAATGTATGCCCTGGCCACATGCAAACCATTCACCCCATCAATCAGCCCCGAGTCTCAGCCTAACTCCAGGTCCAATCTCATTACTGTGACCACCGAAACCAGTTACAGACAGGACTTTAGAGGCACTCCATCGCGGGGCGAGACTCTTCTTCACCTGTGAACCTGTGAACTCTAGGTATCTGCCCCCAAGTCAAGTGGTGACAGTGCCATCACAGATGGCAGAGCTTGGAGGGAGAGGGAGCACAGCGCACCCAGCTAAACCCCGCAGGCCTTGCCCGAGCGCCCCGTCTTGACGCGGTTCTCTGGGTGTTGGGTGGCGGGGTTTGGCTGAGAGCTGGTTAGAGCTATCAGGTGAGTCGCCGGTTTCATCTCCTTTGGTGGACACTCTAGGACACGTGTCCTGATTGTACAACAGATGTCCCTATTTTGAATGGTTCCCTTCTCATCCCCTCGCGTTTTGGTAGGTGGCACGAGAGAACACCTGGTCCTTTGAAGATCTTGCTTAGAACTCTGTTCAGCCAGATGGCCAAGTCCACCGCTCTACCTACCCACCTCCAGCTGCCAAACACTGAAGAAGACACAAACCCTTTGCCACCACTCCATGAAGAGCATCGACTGCCGCCACTGTCTAACCTGTCGTTTCCTTTAAAAGCCTCGACAAACGCACGTGCAGTGCAGTGCCACGTGTGCAGCCACGTTCTGTTGTGCACCCTCCTGGCTGCCTTCTGCACCCGGACCACCACCGCTCCACCGACAGGCTCTGCAGCGTCTGAGACTCTCCCCGCCCACACAGACGGTAACCGGGCCGGTAGCTGCCCAGGGGCGGGGCAGGCGAGGGTGGGGCGAGTAAGGAACTGACCACAGGAAGCACAAGAAGAAAGTGTTCTGCCACTGATCGTGTGTGCGTGCGGGACGCACAGATCCTGGCGGACTGAAGGGTTGAATCACACTGAAGGGTGTGCTGTGTGAAGGACGTGGATTCCAGAACCCTGTTAGAGCGGCACCAATCCGGGTACCAAGTTCTACCCCAGCTGTTGAGTGCTGCTGTCACAGAGATACCACGTGGACGGCTTCAGCCGCGCACGTTTCGTGTTTCTGCTTTTCGCATTCTGACCTCAGCTCTGAAAGGAGGCCCGTCGCACTGCCGGCTTGTTTCCGGGTCAGTGGGGATCTCCACGTCCTTGGTTTGGAGCTTGCCCCGCCTCTGCCTGCTCACTGTGAAATCTCTCTTTGTATCTCAAGAGAGATTAACAATCAGAGCAGAAACAACCCGTTCCAGGCACTAGTGGTTATGGTTTCTAAGGTTAGGAATCCTTGGGCAGGATTCCTGGTGGAATGGGGAATGTCTGGGCATGTATTCCCCGAGCCACCAAGATTTGTCGCCCTTTCCTGTGCATGGCAGCCACTAAGCCCAGCTTTGGGGGCCGGGGCCAGAGGGGCTGCCTGCACACCTAGCCAAGCAGCGGCTGTCCTGGCTGGTTCCTGCTCCTCCCAAGGAGATGCCAACTCTGAATTGTGCTCACCCTGCCACTTCCCTCATAAGCCTCACACCCAAGCTCTCCCGAGGGGTGGGTCAGTGCAGCGTGCCGGCAGGCCCGGCAGGAAGACCAGAGAGGAGCCTTGTCTGCCCCACCTCAAAGAGCTGGTGGCTAGGGGGCTGCTGACGGTGACTTCCTCTCCCACTAGGTCAGGAATTCTGCAAACATGCCTTTTATAGACATGAACATCGAAGCCCCCAAGACTACAGCCACGCCCCACTACAGCCGTGTCTACACTCAGCCCTATGCCCACGTTCACCTGGTTGTGTCTGTAGCCACCTCTGTACACAGAGCCCCCAAGGTTACAGCCACAGTCCACCTACAGCCGAGTATACACCCACTGGTGTACACAGAGCCTGGAGCTGACCCATTGCAGCCAAGTCTACACCAGACTCTGCACATGCGTTGACACTACACACCACCTACAGACACACTCACGCCCGCCCTGCCCCTCAAGCCCCTGAGCTACACCAGTCCGCGGTGCAGGCTCCTGCGGTGCAGCCCTGGCGGTATTTCTGACTCTCCCGACCTGGAGAGCCTGGTCCCGGAGCCTGGGCGACTCCTCTGCTGTGTCTGGAGCCAGCTGTCTCCACCAGCAGCCCACGCCCTCTGCTCCCGCAGGCCATGCCGCTTGGCACCACATTGGCAGCCCCCAGGCTCTCTAGCAGAGCACGTTTGATGAGGAGGAGGCCTCCACTGAGCCCACTCCGCTCCCCCTAACAAGATGACGTGCCCCCACACAGTGCCTCGGCTGTGCCCCTACCCCAGTGACAGGTTTGGGAGAGAAACTGTCCCTGCATGTCTGGCGTGTGAAACATCTCCCTGCACTGCGGCCTGGGGAACAACGCAGGAGCACACTGATGCATGGGGACCGCTCGCCCCGGGAGCACAGGCTCGGAGCTTACCGGAACGAACCTCCCCCCGGCTCCTTGAGCTTGTTCTTCTGTGCGGCGGCTGCTTGTGCAGAGACGGTAGAGAGGGCTTTGGCTCCCGACAGCACAGCAGACTTGACCACGGGGACTGTGGAGGCCGAGACACAGAGGGCCGTTGGAGGCAGGGTGCAGCAAGCCCGAAGGGAAGCGGCCACCCTCCAGACAGCGAGTGACACTGTGACATCGGGGGCTCCGGGCCCACACAGGCCAGCACCCGCAGTCCTCGGGAGCCCTGGCCCCCAGCACAGGCCAGCACCCCCACGGGCCCGAGCCTCTGGTGCGTGAGGGCCGTGGCTGAGCGGACCGCTCACCTGGCTGCAGGGGGTTGAGCTGGATCTGCTGCGGGGTGGTGAGCATGATGCGACTGTGTGGTTGCCGCAGGGCCACCATGGGCGTCTGCGTCAGCGTCACCTGGGGCGGGCGCAGGAGGGCTCCCGGCTTCTGGGGCTGCTGGATCACCTGGCGGCAGAGGGCGCAGGACAGTGAGCGGCCCGGCCAGTGGGCACTCCTCACGTCCCCGCCACTCCCACCAGGACAACACGCCAGGGCCAGGATGCAGCCCTCCAGGGTCAAGCTGCCGAGGACGCAGAGCAGTGAGCCTGGGACAGCCCGGGCTCCCGAGGCAGGGAGGGGAGGCCTCTCCCACACGTCAGCAGAGGCCAGTGTCCATGTCCATCGGCCAGAAGTCGGTTCTCTCCCAGGTTTTCTATCAGAAGGCTGCAAGGGTTCCAGGCTAGATTTCGCAGGTCGGTCCCAGACTCGGCCCTCGAGGTCTCTGCCCCAGTACTAACACTCCCGCCCACGACCGCCGGGCAGCGGCAGCACAAAGCGTAACTGCGTGGTTGCGTGGCCCTGGCGGGCTTCCGAGCTGGAAAGCCCTGACGTGGTGCTGCCTCTCTCAGAGAAGCCGGAGGCCTGGGCGCTGCGCTGGAAAAGCTCTCCTTGGGAACCCTCCTCTCCCTGACACAGCACAGGGCCCAGACCCAGAGCCTCCGTGAGCACGTGCGGCCGCCCGGGCCTCCTGCTGCAGAGCTGGGCCCCGGCCGACCACCAGGATCTTTCCCCGCGGTCCTTTCCATGCTCACCAGGTGACCCGGAAGGCCTGGTGAGGTGCTCCCAAACCCAGCCACCGAAGCCCTGCTGTGGACTGTGTCCCCAGAAATCCTCACCCTGTGCCTGTGCCTGTGGCTGCCTTCCCACCTGGGAGCAGCCACCCTGGTGACGTGGGCCACAGCCACTGCAAGAGCGAGCTTGCCTCAGTCTTGCTGAGACGTCGGGGAGCGGGCACCCGCAGCCACGGCGGCAGAGGCGGGACAAGCTGAGGAGGCGAGCAGCCTTCCCTCCAGCCAGGCCCTACGCTCGTAAGACCATGGACTTCTGTTATTCCTCCCCATCGATGAAAAGAGGGAGCTTACAGTCCCTGCGAAGACCTCACTATCTTTCTACTGCATTGCTCCAAGAACTTGTGCCGCCTCCCCAGTAACTAGGACGGAACTTGGTGCCCAGAGCGGGTGTCGCCCTGACACCCAAAACCCAGTGGGGGTTCTGGGTGATGGGTGGAAGCTGGAGATGGCGGTGCCACAGTAAAAGCCTAGACTGCCTCAGAGGAGCAGCTGGTCAAGCATGGGTGGGGGGGCTGAGGGCTGCAGAGACACCGTATCGAACAGCCATGGTGCTGCTGCAGAAGGGACACTCTGGGCTCCGCTGAGGCTTTCAAAGGGAACGACGCGCGCCGGGTTGGGCAAGAGTGCTGGGTGGACAGCAGAGCCTGTAAAGTGAGGACCCTGGACATCTGGCTGGCAGAATTCCACACAAGCTCTAAAGGAGCTACGTGTTTCTGGGAAAGCACGAGGGGAAAGAAAAGGAACCACAGGGAAGTTTGGGAAAGTATCCTGGGATGCTCGCTGAGGCTGTGGCCACACCACCTCTGGTTAAAGAGACCGAGCCAGTGAGCACACGGCTCAGAAGAAGGGGCCGAGCGAGGAGGCAGAAGACCCTCTTGGAACCCTGCGGGCGGCTCGGAGCGCGCGTCCTCCAAGAGCACAGGAGGCCGTCCCTGGAGCAGCCTGGAGGCCAGCAGACTGCTGGGAGGCACATGGGAAGCAGGACCTTCGTGGGTCCAAAGGGTGTGGCAGGGGCTCCTTGATCTCAAGGGTGGGTGGGTCACAGCCGCCTCGGTTTCCGAGTTGGATTGTCACCAACTTGGTTCCCAAACGTGCAGCCATGGTAGCCTGGGCAGGAAATGGGCCCATCACCCAACGCGGAAGGACTGCACCTGCAAGGTCCACCAGAGACAGAGCAGGGCCAGAGGAGGGGTCCCCATCTAGACAGACCAAGAGAAACGGGGTCGCTCCAAGTAAGGGAGGAGAGCCCAGGGCTGAGGGGGCCCCCCCCTCGGTTCCAGAGAGCCTGGCCACACTCAGGATGACGAGCAAGACCCCCGGCCCAGACAGTTTGAGAACAGAGTCTGTTGGCACCTGCTCTGCTGACCTCTGGCCTTGCATCCTGTCTCTCTGGTTTGTAACAGAAATGCCCACCTTTTTCCTGCTGCACGCTGGAAGCAGACAACCAAGAAGGCTCTGTCCCCAGAACAGAACGCACCTCAAGTCCCACCTGTATGTGATCTGGGTGATTCATAAAATGAAGTTTAGGGACCTGGAGTGGACGGAGGCCCATGGGATGATGTGATGGGGTGGATATGCCTGGCCCGTGGGAAGGACAAGGCTTCAGGGACTAAAGGACAGGATGATAGGGGTCAGCTGACTGGAACTCAAAAGACTGAACTCACTGCCGCTGAGTCGATGCCGACTGGGGTCAGATCACAGCACCCACTACTCCACCAGGGCTCCACCCCGGAAAGGACATGTTCTAAATCCCACCCTCTAGGCCTTTGGTTCCCCTCCCGTTTGGGAGCAGGCTGTCTTTGCCACGAGAATAAGAGGGACTGGGGGTTGGGCAGCAGCATGAAAGGCAGCAGAAGCAGAGCTCCTGAGACAGGAGCCAGATGTTGAGACATGTGAGGATCTCCCAGGGTGCCCTCGGTCTGCACTGGCAGCCCCCACTGAGAGGAGGCCCGCTTGTCTGAGCCCCACCCCTGGTGCTTCTCTCCCAGCAGCTCTCAGCACACCTGTGGAAACCAGCTAGACAGGGGGGTCCCCCAGGGGCAGGTCACCGCCTGGGAGGCACCAGGGGTGGCGAGCAGGGCCCGAGGCCCTAGGGAAGCCTGGCCTGTAGAAGGCCTGCAGGCAGTCAGAGGTGGAGTTGCCCCAAGCAGGCTCTCCGGCGGGCGGGGGAGGCTGTCGCCTTCCATACCAGTGGTGTGGGCTGCCCCTGCTTGCCGACGCCAACCTGTGTGGGCTGCGTGAGGCTGATGACAGGGGGCTGCAGGGCGCTGGTCACGGTCGCTGCCGCCTTCCCGGCGGTGCGCTGGACGGAGCTGCTCAGCACCACCGCCGTGAGCGCTGTGGTGGCCTGGGCAGCAGGCGGGGGCTGCTGCTGGCTCTGCTGGATGAAGGCTGCGGAGTCGGGAGTCAGCTGTCTCAAGGCGGGTAAGCTCCTCTGGGTGGGAAGACAGAGACGGGGTGGGACGGCCGCTCTAGCATCACATCCCTCTCTTTGCAGCGGAGAAGCAGCCACTGCCCACCTGGGGACAGCTGGGACAACTGCCTAAACCAGCAACAAAGCCCAGCATCTGTCATGCTCTTGCAAAGAGAAACTGTCACTGTGGCCCAGGTGGTGCCCAGAGCGAAGTGCTCAGCCAGTCACTGAGAGGCTGGCAGCTGTGCCCACCCAGAGGCCCGGGAAGAAAGGCCTGGTATCTACGTCCAGGGCAACCCTGTCCCTGACAACACGGGGCAGCAACAGTGAGCACGTCCACAGGTCACAGTGCTCCCACGGGGTTCAAGGGGGCCGGGTACGAGGTCTGGGGGTCCCCGCAGCCCCTCAGCCTCACATGGACACTCGCGAGGCAGCACAGAAGCAGAGAGACGCCTGCTCGAGGGACTGCCCCGCCTCTGCAGTGACACTGAGCCCAGTGTGGCAGGGGACCCACACCGAGAACCCACCCATGGTGCTCAGAGGGCCCCGACAGAGCCAGCCCCCGCGCCCACCTCGCTGAGCCCACCCTCAGACACCCCCAGAACAAGCCAGGGCCCTGCTGCTTGTGGACCCACAGGCGACAGCCTGAACAAGGGTGGGCGGGTCTGTAGAATTACCTTCAGGAAAGGCACAAGGTAAGGTTGAGGTGAAGAGTTAAGTTCTCGGTATAGCCTACTCGTAAAATCTTCTGCTTCAATTTTTCCGTCCTTAAAAACAAAACCCACATGGAAACCCGGGGTGAGTGACAGGCCACACACCGTCTCCTTTCACAGCACAACCCTGGCCCCAGGCATTATGCGGGTGCCCACCCCGTCTACTCCCCTTTCTAAAACTGAGTGCCTCTGACGAGCCAGCTCTCGGGGCAAGCCGACACTTGCCCGCCGCTGACCAAGGGCAAAGGGAGCTTGTGTGAGGAAAGAGAACGGAGGGAGGCTCCGCGCACAGTCTGTGCTGAGGGCGCCCGGGACGCGGGCAGCTCAGCTGCAAATCCCAGGCACCTTCCCAGCGAGCTGTGTAGGTGTGTTCAGACAGGTGAGGGTCAGGAGGGAGCGCCTTGTGAAAAGAGCTGTCTGTACCTGAAGCTGAGTGTGTGTGTGTTTATGCACAGTACTGGGAGGTGCATGACTGTGTGCACGCGGTGCGAGCAGTTATACAAGAGATGGTGAGACCACCCTCTCTTTCTGAATGTGTGTAAAGCCTCCACTGAAAGAACAGGCACATCGAGGGGGTGACGGGGAAGAGATGAACCTCAAGGTAAAACTGATATCAAACTCCCAGGCAGCAATAAGTGACATTCGAAAGCAAAGGCCATCCACACCATTCCCGAGGCTGGACAAGCACCGCCAACACCCCGGCCCGAAAGTCAGGACAAGCATCCCCGGCAGGCCACCAGAACCTCCACTGGACGTCCCCTCCCCAGCAGGGGACCGTGTCGGGGAGGACCACGGAGGACCACGCACAAGCTCCTCACCAGCAAATTCTGCACCAGCTCTTTCACATTAGCAGCTGTCTCTGTGGACTGCTTGCCAGACGAAGCCAGCTTTATCAACGTCGATAAAAAATTCTTACATTTCTTCACATTTTCCATAGTTTCCTAGAGCCGGAAGGCAGGAGGGAGGGAGAGGCTTGAGGAGCAGGGTCCGTGACCACGCCTGGTCCACTTCAGAGGTGTGCATGTGGGGAAGGCAGGTGACGGTCCCCTCTGGCTGATGGTGTGCAGGCTGGGCCCACTCCCCCAGGGGTGCAGACAGTCCCACAAGCCAAAGCCTCGTTCACCCCCACCCCAGGGTGCAGACTACACAGCGACGGCAAGCCTAGCGCTGCTCGATGCCGGAGAGAGGGCGTCAAAGTCAGACACCGCTTCTAAGAACGACAGGCATGCCACTGCGCCGAGAGGCAGACCCTATGTTACAAAGCACGGTCCCCAGGGGCTAAGACATCACACACACACACACACACACACACACACAGTCCCCGAGAATAAGGCACGACACACACATGTCCCGTGGGCAAGACATGACACACACACAGTCTTCATGGATAAGACGTGACACACGCATGTCCCCTGGGTAAGATGTGACACACACATGCACCCGCAGTTCCCATGGATAAGACACGACACACACACAGTCCCCATGGGGTAAGATGTGACCCACGCATGTCCCATGGGTAAGACATGACACACACACATATACACAGTCCCCGTGGGTAAGACGCGACACACATGGTCCCTGTAGGTTGACGCGACACACGCATGGTCCCTGTCAAGTAAGATGTGACACATGCATGTCCTGAGGGTAAGGCGTGACACGCGTGTCCCGTGGGTAAGGCGTGACACGCGTGTCCCGTGGGTAAGGCGTGACACCGCAGGGCTGCTGCATCGCTGTCAACAGCGCGATCGATGGATGGGCCTTGATGGCTGCAGGTGTCTCAGCTGGCATCCAGGGGGCACGGCAGTCCATCTCACGGAATTCTCACACTGAGGCTGCCGGCTCCCTCTGCGCCCACGGGGCCAGACCCTTCCCGCAGCAGCACACAGTCAAAAGTCCCCCGCAGGCCTGGCTCTCACTGGTCTGGGCTCACTCCCTGGCCGGGGAGCCCCAGAAGCAGGCCCGGAGGACAGAGGACCCTGGCGGGCGCTCACCGTGGCAGCCGTTGAGGTGGTAGTTGCTCCCGAAACAGTCCGCTGAGGGGTCCCCGTCTGCACAGTCGTAGCTGTCCCCAGTGAGGCTGTCTGTGCGGCGCCACCCAGGACAAGCTGAGGCTGCACAACACCAGGCACGAGGTCAGTGACCTCCACCACAGAGGGGCAGCACCGAGGGAGGGCCGGGTTGCAGCAGACGGCGACTGGCCACTCACCCTGCAGTGCCCAAGCCTGCCACTGTGTGGCACAAGATGCCCATCCAAAACCGAGAACGTGGGTGCCCCCCTTACAATGGACACACACTGGCGAGGAGGGCCCAGGTCACGCACCCCCAGTCCCGGTGAGGACTGTTCCCAAGCTGAAGCCCCTGCCTCGATCTCAGGGCGTCCTCCCGCCGGTCTCAGGTCTCACCTGCACGCCAGCGGGGCGCTGTAGTGTGGCGGCGGGCTGTACTGGCGTCTGGGCCTGAGACACTTGCTTGATTATGGTGGTTGGGGTCACCTGTCGGGCAATAATAGGTGTCCCGGAAGCCTGAAAAATAAGAGTCATAAAGTGAGCTCGCAGCACGAGCACGTCCCGCTGGCCCGCTGCACACAGGAATCCGTCCTACACACGGAGCAACTGCCAGCGGGCCCACAGCTTGCTGCGGGAGCCACCCCTGCTCCCGCCGGCTCCTCTCCGCGCCCACACAGGCCAGCTGCAGACAGGGGCATCTGCTCAGCAAGAACGACCGCTGTGCCCAAGGCTGGGGACCACTGGTCACAGTGCTGCAGGGGGCGGTTGGGGTAGAGGCGGTCACCAGTGCCTCAGCCCTGACAAGATGGGGACCAGCTTCTACAGGTCAGCCACGGGGGAGGTCAGCCAGCACATTTACACAGGGCTGCGGACACTCGTGGGAATGGGCCCAAAGCCAACAGTCTTCCTCGAGTGTTTTAAAGCTCCCTCACTCAGCACACAGGACACTAGACCAAGAAGGCACCAGGCCGCGAGCTTCCCACCGTCTCCCGACTCATGCCCTCTGTGTACGTCCACCATGGACGTGTTGTGCTGAGCTCAGGGGCTGGATCCCAGAGCAGCAAGATCATGGCCCTGCAGAGCGGGACGTAGGGGCCTACTCGTGTCAGGTGTGCAGCCCGGGCCGCCCCCTCTCCCCGCCCCCAGGCACAGTGTTGGCTCAGCTCAGCAGTTGGCCTCCTGGGCAGAGCCAGACACACAGCAGCTACAACCTTGGCTCGCAGCTGATGACACCGGGGGCCACCGAGCAGGCTGGCCCCCAAACCAGGCCCCACAGGGCCGTCCTCAGTGGCGGGCACTGACCTGCACGGTGGAGATCTGGACGGGAGGGGCACTTGTGGGGGTGGCAGGGCGGGGTGCCATGGTGGTCTGAGGCTGGGCCTGGGCGTGGGCCTGCGCCTGCATCTGGGCCAGTGCCTGCTGAGGGATCATGAGCAGCTGCCCGCTCTCACTGCGCACCAGGACCATACCTAGGACATAGGAGACTGGTCAGGAGGGCAGCTGGACACATGTCCCACCGAGGGACGGCTGGTAAGTCTGGGGAGAAAAAAGGAGAGGGTAAAGCGGCGGCATCAGCCAACCCTGCCCCGCTACTCTACGCGCCCATGATGTAGGGCCAGGGCGGGACGGCGGGGAAGGTGTCATGGCCCGCACCTGCACTGCCTGCCTCCCCTGAAACCCAGACGAGGAGTGCCCACACCGAAGCAGGGGGCAGTGTGGGAGCCCCCTTGTGCAGCCTGGCCCCCACTTCTGCCAGTCGCACCCCCCACCCCCACACAGCAGCAGGCCGCACTCCACAGGGGGTCTCCTCAGCCCCCTCCCTGGGAAGCAGCTGCCCAGTCAGGGTGGCTCTGGACTGGACTGCATAGCACAGTGGCCTCAGAGCCTGGGGGTTCTGCTCCAGACCCCCACCCTACCCCAGGAGAGCCAGCTGCACCCATTTTGTGGTCGCCGAGTGCGTCGGACATTTGCACTGGACTAGCCTGTGGCCTGTGCTGTCCGTGGGGGTCGCTGTGAGTCAGGCCAACTGGACAGCACTTAGCAACAGCAGCAGCACAAAACATACTACAAGGGTCACCAAAGTACGGCGCAGGGGCACAAAGTGGGGCACCTGTGCTGAGAACATCCCCACCCTATCTCCAGGGCAGCACAGACAGAGGGGACCGAGAGAGCACAAGACAGGTGCCTGCGTGGGCGAGCCAGCCACCGCCACTCCTGGGAGCACAGCCAGACCTCTAGGAGGGTTTTGAAGCTGCCTAGGTCAGGGCTCTCTCAAAGCTCAAGATCTGCAGAAACAAGGGGCACCGCTCCCCAGGCTCCCACCTGAAACCACCCACCCACAAGAACCACACCTGTGCCCTGCACCCTCCCAGAATGTTAAGGCCCCAGCGCAGCTGCTGCAAAGCACCCACTTTGCAGAGCGCTGGTTTCGCAGTGCAGTCCAGGGCGCAGCCCCTTGCTCCACAAGCCAGACTGTGCACAGAAGGCCCCCGATGGTGCGGGGGGGGGGGGGGGGGTGTCTCCAGGGAGCAAGTAGGCAGAGCAAGGACAGGTGCTGCTTAACTGGTTCCACTCACCACCCACCCGGAGCCTCAGCAGATGCCTGGGCCAGCGGTTCAGAACCACGAGCTGCTCACGGGACAAAGATGAGGCGTCGACTCTCCAAGAGTTATTGTCCTGGAGACCCACGCCCACGGGGCAGTTCTACTCTGTCCAAAGGAGTCACTGAGTCTGAATCCACTCGATGGTTGTGGGTTTAGAGCTTGGACACGCAGTGCGGGTTTCGACATCCCAACAGCCAGAAGGCGGAGAAGACACACACACACACACACTGTGATTGTGCTCACATACACATACACACACACACAGAGTGATGCCCCAACTGCAAATTTGGTTTTCAGACATGGCTCAGTCGATCTGCGGCACACCCACAGAACAGCACCGTGGCTGAAGGCCTAAGGGAAGAGCAAGCGTACTGCTGTGGGGCTGCAGAAACGCAGCGCAGAGGTGAGGACTTGTGCGTGCTCGGCAGCCAGCGACGCAGCAGCGCTGAGGGTGTGTGAGGGGCGGGGCAGACACGCCTCGAGAGGAAGAACGTGGGTGCCTGGGTGGCAAGCCCCTCCCCAAACAGAACTGCCCTTCCCTCCAAGCACAGGGTGGGTGCGGTAGGCCTGGAGGTGCCTTCTTTGCTGGTTCCTCCAGTGACGGTGAGTTACGGCCCCTACCAGGTGCAGCTGTCACATGTGCCAGCCTGAGCACACTCAACATTGCACGGGCTGGAAGAGCAGCCCATGTGTCAGCGACGCCACCGGCTCTCGAGCGGCTCATTCACAGGGAGCAGCAGCTGTGTGCAAGGTCTCAGAGTGTCACCAGGGAGGACCCCTAAGAAGGCGGTCCTGGGAAAGGTGCCCGTCTCCTGTACAGGTCGGGACACTGTCCGCTCTCCTACACCCCACATCCTGCACCACTCGCAGCTCAGAGGCCCCATGCGTACCCCGGTGACCGCCCACTCCCTGGGGCTGCCGTGGCAGTGAGCAGCCAGCTACCGGTCCTCGGTCTAGGGGACAGACCTGCAGACCTCTGGCCCCAAGGTCCTGCCACCTGTAGTAAAAGGCCACTCAGGCACTTCTTCCGGCACCCAGGCAGGAGGTCAGGTCCCAGGGAAGCACCTCGGGACCTAAAGCACAGGCTGGAGAGGCCCCGGCTCCCAGGGCACCTGCCTGTGCCAACAGGCACAAAGAGCCGTCAGAGGGGGCGGGGCACCTGGTAGGGAACTGCCCAGAGAGCAGCCTCCCTCACAGCAACCCCCGCCCCGACCACCCTGCTCTCCAAGGCCACAGGGACGAGCACCTCCACAGGACAGGTCCTGGAGGTCTCCCATAGCAGAGGGCCACGGCAGGCGCTGGATACGCCAACACAGGCCGCTGCCAAGCACCCCATACCCCTGCGCTTCAAACGGTGACGGAAGAGGGACTGAAGGTGTGTCTGGGAACACGCTCAGAGGGCAGGGCACACCGGGGCCAACAGGTGTGCGTGACAGCCACACTCCCCCAGAAATGCCAGCATGGACACAGCACACCCGCCCCCCCTCGGCGCTCCGTGGCACCTGACCCTCCAGTCCCTCAGGTGGACACCTCTGAAGACGGAGGGTCAGTGCACGGCAGCCCGAGCCCGCGCCCCTCACTCTGCCCAGGAAAGAGGAGCGCTGCAAGAGTGACGCCCCCATGCCCCGGGCCCCCCCCAAAACAGCGGCCAGACACGCCATCCAACTCTGGGCGGGGGCTGGAGAAAGGGGCGCCTGGGCTGCAGCCTCACAGGAGGGCTTCCAACAGGAGAGCCGCTGCCCTGTGCCAGGTGGGCTCTCAGCAACCAAGGCATGTCATGCCCACAGACACGAGTCAGAGGAGGCGGCCTGAAAGAGAGCACATGCACACACACAGGGGCACACATAGATGGTGAGTTTCTACAAGGTTGGGAGATGTCTTAGGAGGGAGTCTGAGTGACCTTGGGTTAGTCAAATAGCCAACGAGCACAGTGGGCTTCATCAGAAGGACTCTCCGGCTCTCTCCGAGGCGCTGCAGTGAGAACACGTGACCTTGTAAAGCACTGTCTGTCTGTCTGTCTGTCCCACAGAGGGATCCAGAAAGAAGGCAGAGGTAAGACACAACACAATACCAAAGAACAGACCAAAGACTGAGCGCGCACACACACACACACACACACACCCTCTCACACTGGGCAGACTGCTGTGTGCTGACCCAGACCCAGCCGTGAGGAACAGGAAGGCCACACCTGCTGACACAGGGCCTGGGGGACCTGCCGCCCAGCCCTGCTGCTGGGATGAGAGCAGAACGGGCACCCCTAACCGGGGTCCTGGTAGCACAGTGGTTAAGTGCTCACCAAAGGACCGGCTGTTTGAGCCACCAGCAGTGCCACAGGAGGAGGAAGCCGCCAGTCCCAGAGAGACCACACCTTGGAAGCCCATGGGCCAGGCCTACTCTGCACCTTGGGTCACTGCGGGTCAGGACCGACTGGAGGGCACGTGGCTGTGGGCCTCCTGGTCAGCCGTGCCCTGCTGGCTTCTCACGTGGGAGAACGGCAGCAGCACGTCCTTACAGAGGCGCTTACGTGGACTCGCCCTCACTGAGCCGTCCACTGCGGACAGCGGCATGGCCACATCTCGGGACCCACGCTGGGGAGCGCAGTCAGGAAAGGCAGCGGGCATGGGCGCACGGCTCCGTGTATGTCCACCTCCCGGGAAAACCAAACTCCTCCACCGTGACCACGCATCCGTGGGGTGGGGGCACGTGGCAGGTGTCCCCAAGGGGCTCGGGGGCTCTTCCAGCAAGAACAAGGAAGAGCTGTTCCAACGGGGGCGGAACCTCGGTGAAGGCACCCTGGCTTCTCCACTCCCAGAATCCCCCAAAGACAGCCCCTGGGCCTGACCTCGCAGGGGCCACTGAGCGGGCATGGCGGAGGTGGTGCCGGCGAGCACGCCCCAGCAGACGACTTGTCTATCGCCACGCAGCTCGAGGGTCCCGCAGCCCTCTGCACACGGCCAGGGCATGGGCCTGGTGAGCTCCCGACCATGTGGAACAGCAAAGGTGGGATGCCCACGGAGACGGGACCCTGGAGCAGGGAGGTGACGTCAAGGGGGTGACAGCACAGGGTGGGGTCTCTGAGCAGCCCGTCCAGCTGCTGTGCCTTCCTCCAATGGGGGAGGCAGGCCCCAAGGTGCTGAATGGAGAAGCGTGTGGAGAGGTGTGAGGGGGTAAGGAGCCCAGATGGATGTGATCAGGCATGAGGAGCAGGCCCCACCCCCACAGCACCTCCCTCCCTTCCACGCAGTCAGCCACAGGGAAAGCGAGTCCAATGAGCTCAAGGCCTCTCACGTACCCCAGGAGGAGCAGGAGGAGGAGGAGAAGGAGGAGGAGGAGGAGGAGGCGGCTGTAGGCAAGAGGACAGGCCCCGGGTGCTGCAGGTACCCGCTGGCCAGTCTGAGCCACCATCACCTCCCAGTGGAGGTGGGGGCAGACCACATGCCCCCACTCTTCAAAGCCTGTACCTTAAGGTTCCTGCTGCACACCCCAATACCCAGTCCCCTGCTCCCCGCAACTTGGATTCAGAATTTAACTCTGCCTCTCAGCATGACCCCTGCCGAATCGCCCTTGCCCACCTTCTACCACAGCTCCACCCTCGCCCCGCGAGTCCCACTGCCGCGCTCCCTGCGCTACACTGCACATTTCAGTTCATTTCAGGAGTGCCTGGGCGGTGCAAACGTTAAGTGCCTGACTACCAACCAAAAGGTCGGTGGTTCTGCCCCACGAGAGGACCCACAGAGGAGTGGACTGGCCATCCCTGAACTCCCTTGGTGGGGAGGAGGGGGACCGACCACCTCTTCTCTGCACACGTGGGCTGAGTAATCAGGAGCCATCCTCCTTGGGGCCTGTGTGTGAAGGAAGGAGGTTCCGACCTCGGAAGCAGAGAGCGTGCACGGCACACAGACGCTCAGACACCTCCTTCTCCCCAAGCCTGCCAGACCCGAGGACTCCAGACTCCAGAACACAACTGAGACAGACGGGTGGGGAGCACCCCCACCCCCACCCCCACCCCCGGGAATGGCAGCCCCACAGGCGGGTCAGTCATGCAGCAGCTGCAAGGGAGACCTGGAACTGCACCTCCTTCCTGATCTCCCAAAACCCTGCGGGCGTCCACAGCCGGGTGTCCACCACTGTCCCTCAGTGACCTCCCTCTGCTCTAGGGATGTCTTCTCTGAGCCCCAGCTCCAGCATCCAGCCTTCCGCTTGTGTCTCCTCACCTCAACGACCTCCCATCACCCCCACTGCCACTCGTTCCCAAATCTCCCCAGCACCTCCAATCCTGAGCCTCTGCAGGGTCCACTCATGGGGGTGGAGACTGGCCCTCCACAGGCGACCCTGGCGCCCACACCATCCCACACCTGTCCACACAGCAAACCACTGACCCCTCCCCAGAACCCTCTTCTGCTCCGTCCAGCCAAACATCCGGCTTTCCCGGGTCGCTACATGCTTGTGATTCCCGATCGCAGGCAGAGACAGGGGCCCAAGAGCCTCCCCAGAACCCTCTTCTGCTCCGTCCAGCCAAACATCCGGCTTTCCCGGGTCGCTACATGCTTGTGATTCCCGATCGCAGGCAGAGACAGGGGCCCAAGAGCCGTGGATGGATGAGAAGGGCAGGCCCACCGTGGCCCCCGGCTGTGCTGCCCTGCCCCGCCCCAGCCCAGAGTCCCTGGGTCCCTCCCTCTAGCAGGGCTCCCAGAGTGTGCGGCCTGCCCCCTGAGGGGGTGGGGTGGGGGTACAGAACGGACGGACAGTAACAATGGTTACAGGAGGACACGAGCAGACGGCCCATGGGGAGTCCCTCTGCTGGCCACTCAGGTGGTTACCAGGTCCAGGGTTTCTTTGAGCCCAAATACACCACCAAAGTGCTATGGCCTTAGATTTTCTTCACGTTCAAGTCCAGTTTAAATGCCAGCATACTTGGTAAAATGACCTCAAGACCTGTGTCATGCACGAAGGTGTGCACACACGGCCTGCCACGCCAGCCTTTGCTGGAAGCAGACCTCGGTGGCCGACCGTCACCTGAGCTCTTCTGCAACTTGTCACTGTTCTTGCTGTCGTCGTCGGGGGTGTTCATCGGAGCCACGCAGGAAGACAGCGAGGCCACGACGCCCTGCTACCGACCGCCTGCAACCTCTAACCACCACCTGCCCGCGGCGGCTGCCAAGGAGAGCCGCTCAGCAGGGTGAGCACACAGGCTGCCTTCAAGGCGTTGCTGCAAACGGAACCAGGAGGCAGGAGTGTGGAGCGCAGGCAGCAGGGAAGCAGGGCAGGGGCGCACCTACGGGACACACTTACACAGATCCCCAGTGCCTTGTGCCAGGCTCTGTGCTGGGCTCCTGGCCTCTGGGAGCTGACTGCCAGGAACAAACACAGTGGGACAGACAGCCAGACAGGGGCCATCGGGGCAGAGGTGGGCAGAGGAGCAAGCCCGAGCCTGAGGGGGCACGCAGGAAAGGCAAGACGACAGCACAGAGCGCTGTGGGGAGGGACGCAGGAGAGAGAGCCCCTGGACACAGCAGGAGGCCTGTGTGCTGCGCCTGAGAACCACTGGCGAGAGGTGGTGGGCATTTGGGCAAGTGGGCTCACATGAGTGATGGACGGTCACACAGGCAGGTGAGCAGAGTGAGTGGGTGGATGGATGGGTGGGTGGGTGAACTGGTGATGAGCGGGTGGGTTGGTGGATGGGTTGGAGGTTGGACAGATAGGCAAATGGGTGGGCCAGTGAATGGGCAGGTGAGTGACCAGGTGGACAGACTGATCAGATGGGTAGGCAAATGGGTAGGTCAGTGGATGAATAAATAAAGAAATGGATAGGTGAGTAACAGGTGAGATGGTTGGGTGGGCAGGTGACTGGGTGGGTCAATAGGTGAGTGGGTTGGTAGATGACTGGATGAATGGGTGAGTAAGCAGTGGGTGAGTAGGGTAGTGAATGGGTGGGTGGATGAATGAGTGAACAGGTGGCAGAGGGGTGGGTGGGTGCATGAGTAGAGGGCTGGGTGAATGGGTGAATAGGTGGTAGATGGGTGGATTGGTGAATGGGTGGGTGGATGGATGAATGGGTGAACAGATGGTGGATGGGAGGGTGGGTGAGTGGGTGGATGGGTGAAGAGCCCCCTCATAGGCTCACACACCTACAAGGCAGAGAGCCAGAGGCAGCCACCACGGTGGTGCCAAGTCTCCAACTCAACAGGGGCAGGCGGTGCAGGCTGCACACACAGAAGTCTGACGTGCCCCAAATCTGTGTGCTGCACACACGGCAGTAACCGAGACAGGCCGACGGGGGCAGCATCACTTCCTAACACCAACACAACCACCCCACTGCCCGGCAGCGGGCACTAGGCCTCTGAGAACCACCGTGACCGTCGTCACTCACAGCGGGGGGGGACACCCCGTCGACTCACGCACACTGCCCCACGGGAGCAAACAGTGCCCATGCGCTTCATGGGATCTGCAGAGAGCTGAATCAGCCCAAGATCAGCCAGGGCAGGGAGGGTAAGAAGGCAGGGGAAAAGCCAAGGTCTAAGGGGCCAATGGCTGACAACAACCAAGGAGCTACCCTTCTGTAGGGCAGGTGCTTTCTTTAAAATGCCAAAGGTGAGCAAGGCGATCTCGGTCACGTCATCAAGCTCTGCACGCGTCAGCCGGCCCCGCAGTCCCAGCCTAAAGCTGCTCCATCTACAAGCATCAGTCACCATAACAGCACCGACGGTCGGAACTCGTCTGTCCCCTGCACCCGTCCACCCTGCATTCGAGAACTGTGCTGAAGCACCCACATGCAAATGCACGCAAGCATAGTCACACGCAATACACACGCTGCAAGCTCATCCATGCACACTCGCTCATGCACTCACATGCAGTCACACACGTGCTACAAGCTCATGTGCACATGTACACACTCACATGCACACATGCACGTCACACACATGCAAGCGTGTTCCCTCATGCTCATGCACACATGTACCGCCGCATGTTCACGTGGACACAGGCTCACGCATGTTGGCACGGTCCCCGAGCAGGTGAGCTCAGGGAAGGACCTGGCACTGACATTTCAAGATGAGTATGTTTAGTAAGTTTCAAAAAACAAACGTTTTCCCCAAAGTTCCACCAAGTTGCCCGTAACCAGGATTGTCTGACCAACTTGAAAACTGCCCCAAGAGCCGTACTGGAGGGTAAGCAGAGCAACAGGAAGGAAAGAGGGGCTGCACAGAGGGGCAGGAGCAGAGGGAGGTGAGGGCTGTCCTCCTCAACCAGACCCCAGCACTGCAGCGGGTGGGCTGAGAGGTCAGCAGGCACCCAGAAAAGCACCCCCTCATCAGACAGGCCCTGCAGTGGCTCCCTCCACACATCCGCTCACTCGTTGTCTAGGCTGTGCTTAAACGTGATTTATTCACTAACTTCAACAAGAAAGAGGACTGGGGTCTAAGGTCCCTGAGCTGGGTGGTGAGTTGGGTCACTTGGCCACGGTCCGTCTTCCATGGCCCCGTACGGCCCACCCAATGACTGCTGGTAGCATGCAAGTAAGGTGCACAAGGAGATTAGACCATTGCTAGGCGTATGGACCCTCCCAGGAGGACTGGTCAGTGTGGCCATTCCTCTGTGCTTACAGGGAGCCCTCCCGGAAGGGGGCGGGGACCTGACCACACCAAGAGAAGGCTCAGACAGGGGCTCTGCACGGAGCAGCCCCCCACTCCCGCCCCCAGCAGCGGGCAGCAGAAGCAGCAGGTGGCCCAGAGAGACACAGATGAGTGAGGTCCCTCAGTGCCCACAGGCAGAGCCCACGCGCTCTCTCACACTGCCCAAGCATGCCAGGCTATGAGTCCCATGGCCGGAGAGGCCGCCCGGGGGCATGACTAAGAGGCTGTCCTGACTGAAGAGCTGTATCTCGAGTCATTCCTGATCCTGAATTGTAACCTGCTACTGGCGACCTACATGGCTGGCAGGTCAAAACCAGCAGCAGCTCCAAGGGAAAGACTGGGCTTTCCCTTCCCATCAACAGTTACCGTCTTGGAAGCCACTGGAAGTCGCCGAGTCCCCGGTGATTCCATGGAGTGAGGGAGGGAGTCCTTCCCTACTAGCTCCCATCACGGTGAGTGGTCCCTGCGGTGGGAGAGCAGCGCCCGGGGGAGGGCTAGAGTGGAGAGAGGCCTCACACTCACCCCTCGACAGGAGCCAGGCTGCATGGAGGCTGGCAGTGGTCTCCCTCCTCCATGCCACGGCCACCCCATCATTCCCGTGGCCCAACGCCCATCTGACTTGCAGTGCTGCCACATCACAGCTTGGCGCTGTCCCACAGGGGCTGCTGGGGGCGCGGGTCGACTGCGGGCTCCCCGCACCAGCAGGCTCCTTCAGCAGAGGCTCTGGCCTCGTGGGTCCATCAGACCAGGCAGGCACCGCACATAGTGAGCTGGCTGTGAAGGGGATACAGACCAGAGAAGGGCAGGGCGGGGCAGTTCAGCGGTAGGGTCCCTCCCTTCCTTGCGTAAGCCAAGGCGCCCGGCTCACAGCTATCAGCCCATCAGGAAAGCGTGCGTGCTGGGTGGTTCTGCAGAAGAAAGGCCTGGCACGTGCTGTGTGTCATCTCAGCCAGCGCGACTCTGGGCACAGCTCTGGGCGCAGCATGAGCATGACCAGGGGCGGCTCAGAGCAAGAACACACTGCAGAGCCGGGTCAGCAGAGCCCCCAGAGTGCCGGTGCAGGAAAAGGGCCTAGAGGCCTAAAAACCCCGTGAAGTGCACCCGCAGTCTGAGCCGGGGCATGGCACCCTTGCAGCAAGAGCAGAGGGAAGGGCTGGGCCAGGGCATCTGAGGGCAGCCAGCGGGTGGGCCCTGCGTGGACTGGAAGCAGAGGGGCCTGAGCAGCTGCACTGCGTTCCCGGGACCTATGTGGCAGCCCCGGCACCCAGATGCAGCCAGCGCCCCAGAGAGCCCCACAGCTGGTGGAAGCCTGATGCCTTCGGAGCCGGGCTGCCCCCAGTACAGGGTGGGCTTGGCTGCTGGGTGGGGAGGGTCACAGAGGAGCAACAGCGCGGGCTGGGAGGGAGGCTCGCCCAGGACAGTAGGAGCTCCAGAGCCCGGTCCAGGGGAAGCATGGCAGGGGTGGGCTGCGGGCACTGAAGAGGGCCCAGCGAGTTCCCGACAGGCAGCCTCAGTGCTCTCCTCATGGGGCCAGGGGGAAAGTGACACTCAAGGCCAAGAGGTTCCCCACCTGGATCTGACAGACCCATTAGAGAGCCTCCCTGTCCAGTGACGACTCCTCCCTCCCCTTTGAACCAGGCAAACCAAGGACAAGAAAGGAGAGTCCCAGGCCCGAAAAGGTACCTGTCACAACCATCGTGCCCGGTCCTGCAAACACAGCCAGTAGACGCAGGAAGGGCCCTCACCAGGTCATCTCACACGCGCCCCCCACCCTACACACACACCCCTCAGGCCAGTGGGGAGGAGGCGCACAGGTACCTTTTGCCGGACCCGAGCGAGCATGTGAGCCCCAGGAGCGCCGGAGCACCTCTGAACTGATGGCTGCCGAGGGTCCCAGTCACAAGTAATCAACCAACAACTACCAAATGCACGTCTTGGAAGATGATTTCAATAGCTGCCACAGACACTTAGAATCCAGCAAAATACAGGCGTCAAGTGACCTATGTGGACAATCCACAAAACTTTGCTGCGAGGCATTAAAGAAGACCTAAACAAATAGATTGACAGGTTGGGTTAGGGGTGCTGTCAAGCCGGGCCCTGATAGGGTGGAGCCCACGGTGGCAGCCACTGTGTCCATCCATCTCCTTGAGCACCTTCCTCTCTTCTGCTGCCCCTGCACTTTACCAAGGGACACCGTTCTGTCTGCAACACCGGGAAGGCAGGACCCACACCTGATGTCCTTCTCCAGACTGGTCTCGGCTGATCACATGGCCAAAGTCGTAACACCCTAGACTGGACTTCTCCCAAGACAGACTGATCCCTGGTCCAGGCAGCACCCTTTCCCAACACCACGACACCCACGTGCCAGTTCTTCTCAGGCCCGAGACAGCACTGACGTGATGGGAAACCACATCATCAAGGCTCGCCGGTGGGGAAACAC